GTAAAGCTGGTGTAGGTAACAATTCAATCAAGTGTCAGCAGTGTAACCAGTGGTGTCACAAACGTTGTTCAAAAATAATTGGTACTTTATCTAAAGTTTTCAATTTTGTTTGTCCTGCTTGCATCAATCCACAACAACAAATTCGAAATAGCACTGTTTTTGAAGCCATTAAAATAGAGAAAGTCACATCGTTTCATTATCTAGGGGATGTTCTGGATTGTACTGGAACAGCTGAAGCTGCCGTTCGAGCACGCATACGTGCAGCCTGGAATAAATGGCATCTCCTTGCCTCTATATTGATGCGGCGTGACATCCCACTACCACTACGATCAAGACTTTATAAATCTGTGATACGTCCGGTGTTGTTATATGGTGCAGAAACAATGACAACGAAACTGGAACAACAACGAACCGACATGAAAATGCTCCGATGGATGCAACCAGTGGTGTCACAAACGTTGTTCAAAAATAATTTGTACTTTATCTAAAGTTTCCAATTTTGTTTGTCCTGCTTGCATCAATCCACAACAACAAATTCGAAATAGCACTGTTTTTGAAGCCATTAAAATAGAGAAAGTCACATCGTCCTACCTCGGGAAACCGGGTCTCTGGACAAAAAACGAAGATTGATTGATTGATAATTACTGTTGTCAATTAAATAATTTTTTATGCGCTTCTGGATATGCACAGTTAATCTTCGAGTCAATAGAGAAGTAGTTGGGTGTCTGATATATTCTGAATTTTGATGCCAGGGTTTGTATGTTTTACATCTAAACCATTACGACGCATGATTTCGGTAGATTTGATGTGGTCCTTCAGACAAATGCTTTTTCAAGGTCTACAAAAATGTGTGATAGTTGTTGATGCTTTGCGAGGTACTTCTCTTGCAGTTGCCGAAGGATGTGAATTGCATCAATTGTTGATTTCCCCGCTAGAAAACCAAATTGATAATTTCCGATTGTGATGCACGACGTTAATCTTCTCTCAATGATTTTTTCGACAATTTTCAGGGAGTGTTCTAACAGACGTATACCCCGATATGATGAACAGTTCAATAGACCACCTTGCCTTTGTATAGCGGGACTGTCATGCTATAGTTCCATTCAGTCGGCATTGAGCAATTTCTCCAGATTTCACGGCACAGTTGTAGTAACGTTTGGATACAGTAGTTACTAGGGAAATATTCGACAATAATAACAATTACCAGGAAAATGCTCAACAGTTTGTTTTATCTTAAATTTGCGGAAGCTTTTTTTATGAACAAACAAAACCTTTTAAATATTAAACAGAATTCTGTGACTTAGCCACCGACAAAGTACCTAATAACAAAAGAAATAATGGAACTACAATAAATTAAAAACACACAGATATAGGAATATATAAAATACAACCATTATTTGTTAACAATATTAGATTACAAAATTGAAAAAAGATTTTTCTGTATAAAATAATAAATAGAAGTTTAGTTAAAATAAGTTGAAAACCAAAATAAAAATCCTGTACGTAATATTGAAAAACTGAACAGGAAACTAATCAAAACTGAAAATAGAGTGATGTTTTTTATTAATTGTACATGCCACAGTCCCAACACTTTTTTGCAGGAATTAAAATTTACTTTCACGAAAAATTAGTTTATGGACTGAATCGTATGAAAAATTAAAAAACTGCTTATTAGATAGTTTCAGCCGAATGTTTATATATACGGTCTTTTCAAAATATATATATATTGAAAAGACAACGACCGTATTCAATGAAAATATTGACAATCGTTGAATTCTTATATTTTTTTAATTGAAATTTTGAAATTCTAAAATGCCGACATAAAATTTTTGTGTACTATATTTATACATCATTTACGTCATATAAATTAATAATACCTTTTATTAACTTTTGATAAATTTACTCAGGTATCAAATCGCTGATAAGAAAGGAGAAAATGTTGGATGATTTTATAAATATCATGCATAAGTCGCTTGAAGCCGTCACTTATAACCAACAAGATATCGAATATCTTTTTTTAATAAAATGTTAATTAAAATTTTAATAGTTTTTTATTATAAATTTTAATTGTGTTATAATAATTCTTTTCTTTTTTTAACCATTGAAAAAAAATTTACATTATTTAATTTTCACATTGGCTAATGTGACGTATTATGACTTGAGAAAAAAAGATTTATTCATGGAGGATGTAATTTTCAAGATCAAGGCACCTGCTGAAACTAAATTAGAAATACTAAATTATAAAGATTCTAAGGTTGAAATTTTTAACATTTTTAAAAATTTTACATAACAAGTTGTTTTTTTTTAATTTGTTTCCGGTTTTGTCAGCTGAAATTTGAACTCCTTTTAAAAAGTAATGAGCCTATTGATTGCTCTATCATTTCCGGTCTGAGCAGTGGTTATGATAATGTTGTATATGTTGACAACGATGTAAGATTCGAGCATAAAAATGATTCTGAACTGAGTCATGTTTTCGGTTAGTTTTTCTATTTGTTGAACATTCTTTTTATTTTTAGCAGGATAATTATTTATTATTCAAATTTCAATTATATTGAAGTAAATATAAACCTCGACTCCCACTGGTCTTGTTTCCACGCAGACAAGTTGATGTATATTTTCTTTCTAGTCTGATAATCTGCTTAATAAAATCGGACAAAGCATTAAGTATTATCTCTATTTAGCTCTTGTAAATTGACACAATTTTAAGGAGTACTGATTTTTTAAGATTATCCTAAGATACAGAGATAGATTTTTATCTATCGTCCAACCGTTTCAGGTTTTTCACTGATTTCGTTCAAGAGTTCGTTAACCTCTGCGGATGACACCAATCACGTTCTAAAATAACAAACCAATAATTATTTATTTTGATAATCGTTACCATTTTGACTCGCCGGCACTATTAAATACGAATAGCCCACGTATAATAGTTACAAGATTTGATCAAGGCTAAGACATGAGACGTGTGATGGGGGGAACATATGAAAGCTATTGCGGAGTGGCGAAACATTACTTTAGATATGTGGGGATTTAGCTGAAGAAAGTTTGATAAATGCCAATCGTTTATGGCCGTTTAAGTTGTCAAGCGGAGATAAATGATTAAAGATGAATTTTAGCTATTATACATGTGTCCTCAGCGTATTGATAAAAAGGTTTTAATGATATTAGAAATAGGAGAGGTATAAGTAGTGAAAAGACAGACCCTTGGGGGGAGCTCCAGTAGATAAGGTGATGCTAAAAGAAGAGTGGGAGCCAAGTTTCGTATATTGAGAACGATTTGAAAGATAAGATTGAAACCAGGATAAGGCATATCCCTTGATAATCTGCCTCAAGTCTGTCAATAAGCATTTGATGCTTAATGTTATCAAAAGCTGCTGGAAAACCTAGGCTGACCATGACAGCGCAATTTTCATTTTCCACATATGTTAGCAAGTTGGTCGGTCGTGAACACGAGGAGGGCTGTTTCTGAGGAATAACATTTTCTGTAAGCGGATTGAAAAGGAGAGAAATTAGGAAATGAAGTAATATGAGTGAGAATTCTGTTCAAGACAATGCGTTAAAGTAATTTAGAGAAGGTTGAGAGGTTGGAAATACGACGGTAATTAGAAGAATGGATCAAGATTAGATTTTTTCAGTGAAGGTAGAATTTGAGCTATCTTAAAAGAAGTTGGAAAAATGCTGTTTTCTAGAGAAAGATTGAAAAAAGAGAAAGAAATGATTTGAAGAAAGAATGTTAGAATAAGCAGTTTTTGTAGCAATAGATTGATGAATAGAATTTATTTTGTCCTTGAAAAAGTTAGCAAAAGAAGATACAATAGTAAGAGATTCAGCATCAGAAAAATAATGATCTAAGCGTTTGTAAAGAATGTTGCTATAAGAATTTCAGAAATCACGAGAATAGAATCGATCCTAGACCTCATAATGGCGTCACGAGCAACACGTTTAGCATTTTTATAGTTGACGAAGTTGAGCGCGGGTTTTTCATGTTTGTAGTGACGCTCCATACGACAGCAATTTCTTTTAGCAGCTATTGCTTCTTGGGATAAAGAACAACAAGGGTGGGAGCTCTATCGAAACGAGTAATGCTTGATTGGTGCGTGTTTGTTTACGCTGTGTATTTTTTTTAAATTTATTCTTGAGCAGAAAAATTATATTTAATCTTTAAGTACAATAATAATAAGCTTTTAGATGATTGTGTTTTAATCGCATTTCATCTTCACTGTACAATTAATTTTTAGCTATTATTATTTGTAAAATAGTTGAAAATCTACTTTCACAGTGATAAAAAAGTGTTAAAAAGTGGTACTAGTTTTCATTGTTTTTGATACATATTCGCGATCTATGACACTTAACTTTCTGAAGCAATCAGGTGCATTGACAACTCATTCCAGAATATCTTGTTCGACTTGTGATGGAAATGTATACGAATACTAAGACATAGGCGTTGTTCACCAAGGCTCAATTCTCAGTCCACTGTTGTTTATAACAGTGATGGAAGAAATCACAAAGCCGATACGCAGTTGTGACATTTGATTTGGAATCTAATAAATGCTGATGATATCGTTTTAACAGCCACGTCTGAGCAGAATGCAGCACAGATGTTTGAAGATTGGAATACCAGACTCGTTGATCATGGATTCAAAGTCAACATTAGCAAAACCAAAGCAATAAACACTGGTGAACCCATCCAATCCACAACTACTGGACGATGGCCCTGTTCAGTTTGTAAAGCTGGTGTAGGTGACAATTCAATCAAGTGTCAGCAGTGTAACCAGTGGTGTCACAAACGTTGTTCAAAGATAATTGGTACTAGTGTCCAATTTTGTTTGTCCTGCTTTCATTAATCCACAACAACAAATTCAAAATAGCAATGTTCTTGAAGCCATTAAGGTAGAGAAAGTCACATCGTTTCAATATCTTGGGGATGTTCTGGTTTGTACATCTAAGTAGAAACAGTGCCATAATTTCTCCTGGTCGCAAACAATCAAGCAAGACATAAAAGCTCTAAATTTAAATGAAATGGATACAACTGATCGTCTAATTTGGCGCAAAAAATTGATGGCAAAGAAAACAACGTCCTACCTCGGGGGAACTGGGACTCTGGATTACCAGTGAAATACAATGTAATAAAGAAGATATTCACCATCAGAATTCATATGTTTACAAAAATCTATAAACTGACCGATGTTAAGAGCTCTTGATTTTATGTAATTAACGATTTTTATTTACGAACTAAATGCTTCTTGTAATGGCTTTGAAAGGATTTTTTAGCAAAATCAAATTGTATCGTACAACGCAAATTGAATGTAGGGGAGACGGGGGCCGAATGGACCGCTTTTTTTTGTCGCTCACTAAATATTTTTTCTTTGCTCAACAAAATCAGCTATCGCTATTTTAATAACTGATCTTGATTTGTCATTATCTTGCACAGTTGACGGTATTTTTTTAATATTTCCAAATAACGTAATTTTTTTATAATTTAATTTTTAAGGTGGGTTGTTCCAATTTTTTTGGTGGTCCATTCGGTACAATAGCGGTGTACTGGATGGACCGGGTAAAGTACCAAATGGACCATTAAAGAATAGCAACAAATTCATGGAAATAAACACATTTGAAGTATTTTTAATTGAAACAAAAATTGAAATAATAAGATTATTCATGTATGCAAAATTCGCAAATGTAATCAACTGCACTAGAAACACTCGTGCAGAGCTCGTGAGCCCACTTGGCACAATTTCTGCAACGAAACCACATTTCGTTGTCTCGGCCAGCCTCACCACACATGACGCATATGTCCTTCTCAGCATATAATTGTCTTTTAATTTTATTTTTTTTTGTTACTCTGTTGCTCTCTTCGGATATTTGATTTTTTTTATTTTGTTGCAATTTCCTTTTGTTCATGATGGGACGTTTTTTTATCTCTTCACGAGTTTGCTGCACGCGAAGCTCTTCTTTAACTGGGGTGTCGGTTAACACTCTGGAAGTTAATTTCTTACGTTTAGTTTTACGTACCTGACGAGCTGGAGCTTTTGGATACGGACGAACTGATTCAGGGG